TTCCAAAATGTCTTGAGGTTTGATGGGAAAATCTTCGCTGCCTTCGTCTTCAAGGTCGTCTTTCAAACCGTCTCCGAGATGATATTCGAAATCGTCTCCATCAACATCTACGAGGCGCTCCTCGAAACCTTCAGCGAAATAGTCGTCAAGTTCTATCGGCCATGCACCCTCCGCGGCTAGTGAGAAGCCGGCGTCTCCAACGCCCGTTGGCGCTGCGAAGCCCTCGTCGACCCCAGGAAGTCCGGTTCCCAGTTCAGAGCTGCTGCTTGAGGGCTCATCGACAGGTTGATACTGGTGGCCATGCGGGGCCTGAAGACGGTGGACCTTGCGATCGGGGCGTGCACGAGGCTGAGGACGCTGTGGCCCTGTCGTGTTGGGTGTTCGACTGAGCGTCTCGAGCCAATTACTCCGCGGCTTTGGTGCTTTGGTATACCAGTGTGACGGACCGCCGAGGTCGACTGTAGGCTCATCAGGTACCTCTTGCCAGTTGGTAGCCGGCTTGAAGTTCCCGTCGCTACCTCTCACAAGTGGCGTCACTTCCTTGATGTCCACGAACGGCTTCACCCTCGGCTTTCCCGTACCACGCTCGTAATGGTTGCGCGTCCGTTCGTCCTCCATCTCGTCGGGATATTTATCGTAGTACGCCAGCGCCCATCGCGAGAGTGACCATTCATCGTGGTCAAGGCCAGTGCGATCTAAGTCGCGCAGCCAAAACCGTGGTCTGTCTTCTCGATAATTGAACTCGGCTACCGTGACTCCCCAGCGTTCAGCGAGGCCCTCGTAGTAGCTTTTCGTAAAGAGACCGTCCTCGGAAGGCTGCGGGGAGGGACTGCGGCGGGCATCCGGCGGTTCGCGTGCAACGCTCGGGGGGGCTGTATTGTCCTGGATATGTTGTCAGTGTCTGCAAAATGTCTCCGGCCATTTCTACGATACCTTGATTGAGGGAGCGTCCAGCGTAGGGCCTTGGATTGGGGGATACGATACCCGCCTTGTACCCTCCATTGTTGCGACTGACATGAGATGCTGTTCCCCAGTGCGAGTGGAGGTAAGTATGCGGACAATCTATCTGGGGTCCGTGTGGTCTCTGCTAATCTTCTCGACAGTGAATTATAATGTTTCGGCTGCTGACTTTTTACCCCTGGAGACGAGTATGGCATGTTGCACATGACGAAATGCCTTACCAGCCTCTGAGTGCAGCCTCTAGAATCTCATGCGTACTTGACGCTACGTGAAGCACGAGGACACGCGAGTTGGACGATCTTACGGCTCCACCGTTTGCGAAGCATGCATGTTTATAAGGCGCTCAAGTCGTCCGCCCATCAATACTTCGGCCCTTACGGCCATTGCGATGACCTACATCGCCGTTTTAATGTGCAGTACTCATGAGCGTCAGGTCTAGCAAACCATATTCATCGATTTGAGAAGATGCCCGAGTTTCTGCTTTGATCACAACGAGCTCTTAGTGGATAAAGGAAGTACACATTAGTTTCGAATAATCATTGTTTCATTAGCAGCTAAAGGAACAGTAACGTTGTGTAGAGGCTGTTGCGGGTAGTCTGCGTACTGGGAAAGACAAGCGAGTCGCGAAGTTTGTAGCACGATTTGGCAAACTTCAGCACGGCACGCGTCCCTATCATCACGTTCCTTGGTCACTGAGGGTCGGCTTTGACATCTCGGCAGCTCGCGTAAGGAGAGATGGGATGAGAAACTTTTCCGAATGCCCGACTATACACCAAGTCGCTATAAACTTTTACGCTTCTGCGTCACGCCCCCTGGATCAAGTTGTTACTATACGAGAAAAGACGCGCAAGTCTCTAGTCATGTATGGAAACCGAGGCAAAAGCTTTGAGCCTCTTCCGTTCTCGCGACCGAGGGCGCCATGATGGTGCATACACAGTCTCTTCACCACCGTCGAGATTCCGCTTCGTGCGCGGTCCACGCAAGCTCTCAAGTGCCTCCCGATTGTTCTTCGTCAAACCCTCGAACATCTTCCTGCTATGTTCATCTCCCAGGTTCAGGGAACCTCCAATGGCCGAGCATGCATTGGCAAGGGCTGCGAGGTCGTTCATGAACACATAGCGGGCGAGGAGTGTCTGGACTGTGGAGAGCCGCATCACGGAGACGAATCCGATTTTGTTGTTGGCCAGACCCCGGATCTCTGTCGTGTTGAAGCTTGGAGAAGCCTTCACACTATCCTTCTTCTCGTCTTGCAGGCGTTTGATGCATTCGTCGATGAGAGGGGCACGCTGGAGCTCTTTTGTTCCGGCCGGACAGGTGGCGTGGAAGATTGGCGATGTTGACACAGGTGGAGAGAACGCGCCAACACCACACGCGGCGAGGACGTCATGGTCTATAGCCTGTGCCAAGTACTTGGTGTTGGGGCCCGTTACTTCTGGACAGTGTTAGAAATGTAGGGCGGACGAGTATGGTACCTCTGTATCATACCGGGTGGACTTGCTGTGTCGCGAGTCGGCGCTTGATCTATGCTGATGATAGGCCTTGAATGGCAGTTGGAGGTAGACATGACGCTTTGCATTTTGGTTGCCGAGTATTGAAAAGGCGAGTCTGTCGCGAGCGCTGTTGACGACGTGTAAATTATCACAATTGACTTGCCTATGCAGTCTCTTGGGTGGTAAGAAGAGGAGATCACATACGAGACTAACGTTCGGCCTCTTTGTAAATCGAAGAATGATCCGGTGACGCTGTCTGTGCTCCAAAGTCGCCTCGAGATCAAACAATTGCCTAGCGCGCTCTCGGCGCGCCTGAAAAGGATACCCCGTTATATGAGACGCAAGCGACCAATAGGCGATCACGGAGGTGCGGAAGATAGCTTTACGTATGCGAAGTTTTAGATGCTCAGACTCTGCTGGTCAAGTGAGTACACGGCCTGTGACGCTAGAGGGTATAAGATAACGAGCAGTAGAAATGAACCCCAAAGACATCAGGAGATATAGTTGGTCAGTAGTCACATTCTATATAGACGTACCCCCTTGAACGGAGAGAATGATGTATCTAGAGCATGGATCTCCGAGTTTCATCAGGCACAGGATTTTGACCACATCTGCGACGAACTTTCCTTATGGCACAGTATGACTCAGCCAAGAAAAGACATCAGCTAAAGAAACCTTGGTCTCGTGCTTATGAACAGGTTCGAAAGGCGGGACGTAGCGACGACGTATCGGCTCAGTGGGCCTACCCACTGGTTGCGGAGGAGGTGCCAAGCATTGTTTGGCTACGATGTGCCTCAGTAAAGCGCTGTCTTCGCGTAGGAGGTCTCTTGTTGAGCTAGATACCGCCTGTACGTATGCATTTCACTACGAGGAGGGGTTGTTTGGGGGCACAGACCTCGACTGAGTGTCCAGCCATATCTTTTACTTTGCAACTCACAACATCTGGACCAGACCCCGCTACGCCCCCTCTAGTTCATTTTCAAGATATCTACAGCCGCGAACAAATTCCTGCATGAGAATCGCACCCATTCTACGAGTGTAGCGCAGTGTCATTGCGACTAACACCGCTCGAACGAACGGCGAACTGCCCAGAGACGGATCTTGATACAACAAGAATTGTATGCGCTACGATTCGCGAGAACATGAACTCAAAGACTAACAGTTACGGCAGATATGGTTCCTATCACATTGCTGAATCAAGTATAGTGTGATCCAATGGCTTTCCACCCAAACGCCTTGACTGGCTTCATCGCCGAGACTCCCACCTCGAGGATAAAGCCAATACTCACGAGAGCCATGATCGAAGCCGACGACCTTTGCATGAACCACCAGAGCATCGCACCGCTCTTAGCAAGTATCTGGAAGTACAGCTCTAGTTGTGTTTCTTCGACACCCACAGCTGTCGAATTGGCTGCCGGCCACCGTTACTGGCTGCCATGCGGATGTCTAGCGGAGGAATGGATAACCTTCTTCACCTTCGCCGAGGGATGGCTCGATTTAGCGCCGCCTGGAGTAAGGTCGGCCTACGAGGAAGACCTGGTCGACAACTTTGGAGTTTGGCCGAGCTTCGGGAGGACCATGCAGGATGAGACCAGTCTGTCCACCAGTTATGATTGGTCTCCGCCAGGAGAGTTATCTGAGCAACTTGCTCCCCGTTGCTCGCATTCTCAGCACTTGACCCACTCACAGACCCCGCGAGTTGCCGAAAAGACCCCATACCCCGACGTCGCCAGAGACCCTTCAAACGGGACTACGCTCAAAGATGGATATGGTCAGCCTAACTTGGCGCGCCGTAACATTACAGACACAACCGGGCCGAGGAAAGGTCTGCTCCTGGGAAAACTATCAGAGACCAGTCCTCATGCGCTCCGCCAGTCGTCTGCGGCTCCGGCAGGCTTGTCCGTCCAGTCATTCCCGTTCCCGGCCGTTGTCGCCCCCCAGCGCTTGTCGTCCGCTCATCCTACACAGCATGTACCTCAAGCACGCCCACTGTTAGCACCGGCCCAGTCCGCACAACAGGCGTCTCAGGGAAACATGCAGCCAGCATCGGCTCTAGTTCCAGGCCCTCATCAAGGTCAGCACTCTGTCGCCCAAGTGCCTGTGTTTCCTTTGCGGTCTATACGCAGCGGTGCAGCTGCTTTCGAGCAAAACCCGGCGGCTCCGCCAGTTTTCCATCAGCTGCTTCAAGCAAAGGGTATTATCACCGCGGGCTTCCGACCAGGAAGTGAACTTCCACCGGGTAACAATAACACCGCGTGGAGTGCTGAGCGTATTCGAGCATTTGTGGAGATCGAGGGTAAAAGCATCCAACGACTACCTTCTCTTGCATTTTCAGTACATGGCACTGAGATGACCAACTTCCGGACACCTGCATCCGTTGACATGCGCTGCTGCCCTTTTGAGACGTCGATTGAGGAGATGTTTACGGCAAGTGCAACATCCGTGTGATTCAACCACATTAGCAAATCACTAACAACGTGGCAGTACTTTCCAAACAGCTGCACATCCACTCGCGAGACGTGTGTCCGGGCGATGCGTCATTGGAGACCCATGGACATATCCCGCTACATTGTAAGTGTGGCTTCAAATCTTGGATTTTGACAGAAGACTAAGCTAATGCCATTCTCACCAGAACTACGCACACGATACTCAGACACCGGGAATCTGTAGTCGTTCGAAGATCTCGTATCATTTTAAAGCCGCTGAAGAATGGCAAGAGGAGCATCCAGACTTCGTTCCCACCGCCTCCCTTCGCAACGTCAGCAGAGACAGCCTCTTGAAAGGCGAGAACAGGATGCTGCACGACTTCTTCCTTTACAACATGGGTGATGGTGTGGCTCATCCACCTGCTGGACGTCAAGCGCAAACGTTGACGCGTGTCATCGAGCACGTTCGAAGGGTCACCGGGGATCGCCACGTTCGGCTCAGTCAAGCTGCTGTATACGCGAGGCGGTACAACATCACAGTACCGGTTCATGAGCAGATGAACTTCACAAACCTAGCTGTGGAGGACCAGTTGCCGTCGCCCGCGAGGCTTTTGGCGATGAAGGCCGACTACTGGAACAAATTCGGTGACCACCCGTAGTTTGGAATCGCTGATGAGACAGACGAGCGGGGAGTCGTTGGCGCAAGAGCCGCGCAAACAGGTTTGTTGAGTGTGCCTTCGGACGTTCAGTAAAAGGTTGTCGGCGTTGGACGCGGGGCAGCCGATTCCAAGATTGATTGCGAAGTTTGCCGCCAAGCTTGCCCCTGTCCATAACTAGTTTAGCGTGGGATGAGCCTCATGTGCTTCCAGCCGAATAGCTGCAACCACCTCATCTTCGCTCATCCATCATGCGACCACCATCACTCGCAACAATCTTTATCAGACCATGGAACTCATTGCTCGTTGTGATATATGCTGCGGTGCTCGAGCAATCAAAGCGTAGTAGGTAATCAGGAATAAGGTTTGCGACGGCTCATGAGCAAGAATCTGTGATTCCATGATTAATACCCATATCAAGTCTTACCCTCGCCTCAAGCTTGCGTCCATTCATCACGTACCGACTGCAACTTTGAAGCCATTTCTTTCTCCGCACATTCTTTGCTATCGCGTATACCCTCACTATGCCGGCAAGCACAAAGCCTTCGTGTAGGCTCCATGACACGGTCATGTGTCCATTCAAGTTTCTGTATTTTCGCCACCTGTCATTTGTGCTCGAGCATGCGACTCACAGTTACTTCCCGAAATGGATTAGAGCGTTCTGGCGTTGCGCGGACGACCTCTTACCCCCACCAAGAGCAGATGGCCTATGGGCTCATGCGAACGCCGAACTCTCGAACAACTCAACCCGGTTGACAAAGCTCTCTACTCATTTCTCCTTTGCATAGCGCTTTCAGCCTCGGCTCAAACATTTCTCATCTTCTTACGAAGTTTTGTGTAACATGGATGCGCCGGACAGTTTTACGACGAGTAACGGAGCCCGAAGTAAGCTTCCAAATCGCGATTTTTGTTCCTACTCACACGCACTCCAGACCCCCCAGGCAATGCCATGGTGTCTCACCCATATGGAAATCGACCTGTAGTGTCCATGTCGGCCCCGCGCGGCGTCACGTCGCAGACGGCGAACGAGGTCGACCGTAGCGCCCAGCGAGAACAACCACCTTTTCTTGCAGACCTTCCTTGGAACGATCCCGCCGTGACGTACACACCTGCACACTACACGCGTCGAAATCTGCTGCAGGACCGGCTTTTGCAGAGCAACGAATATCATCGCCGGCGAGTCAGGGCAGTCATTGAGTTCTCCAGAGACTTGTTGATGCAGCTTGGACAGAACCAGGACGATGACGACCTGATACTATACAAGATATCCAAAGATCGCCTTCACGACGCATGGATTGATATCTTCCTTACAACGCCTGACTACTATCTGCAGATGGCACCGGCTGAGATTCAAGAAGTATACCATGAGCAGATTACATCAATGTCAAATGGGGTAAAGATCAACGAGGAGTATACCTTGGGTCGACCGAGAAAGCGAAAAGCTTCTGAAACTGAGAACGGGGCTCAAGTACTTCGCACAGCTAATGCAGTCAACAATGCAGGAGGACAAGTGTATGAGTCTGGTAAGCGACCCCACCACGAGATCTCCGCACTGGCAGAAGGATCACAGTCTCAGCATCACTCGTCACTACCCTCTGAGAGTCTACTTTTAGCTTGTTCGTCGCGGGAGCTTGACCGCATCTTAGACATGTTCATGCCAGCTCTGAGCGCTCAAGTTGCTATCCCCACGCATGATCCGATAGCGTCTGCGCCAGAGCCGGCGCTCAACACGATGGCGGTCGCACCAGCAGTGGTAGTAGCACCTCCAAGTCAGCCTGTGGTCCCGGTAGCTATTCCTCCAACGGGCGTAGCCCCCCAGCCTGGCTTAGCAGACCCCATTGCTGCTTACATGGCTGGCAACCCCTCCAGGAACACACAAGATATCGCCGGTCAGGGATGTACAGGCATTGCAATGTCCCGTGGTCAGATCCGTGCCTTTTTCGAGATCCAAGGTAGACCATTGGCCAGCCTTCCACCCGCGGCCAACTCCCATCATCGTCATGAGCTGAGGGGTGTGGCTCCACCAAAAACGGTTGATCCTACTTTGATCAACTGTGTCACGACTGCGCAGGAAATACTCACTGTAAGTCTACTGCTCCGATCTGAAGAGCGCTTACTGATACTTGATCAGTTTCTTCCATTTCAGACCGTGAACTACGAGCTATGGGACCGCATTCGGAAGTCCTGGGCCCCAAAGGCGATCGCTGATTCAATAGTGAGTTACTGAATCTCTTTCCAGAAGTCACACATACAAGCTTATGCTTACTTAACCAGGCCTATGTTCGTCAGCTACGCTCAGGTAAGAGCTTCCACCGGACGACCTTCCACCACTATCACGATAACCGACCGGAAGACATACCAGAGCATACTTTCACCACGAACGTACCTTCAAACATGTCACCGAGAGGGAAACTGGACAAGAGTGCCCGCACCTGGCCTCTTCACGACTACTTCCTTTACCATCTGGGGGACGGAGTAGTGCATTACCCCGCTGGTCGCAACGCACAGCTCATGACGCACTGCGTTTGGCATGTGCGGAATGTATCCCATGACATGGATGTCAAGATGTCGGAGATCGTTCAGTATGCAGCGAAGCATGGCATATCCGTTCCCGCCGCTGATTTGATTCAGCCGGACACAAACGTGGTGTTGGAAGACACGCCTTCGCCGGCCTTCCTTGCTATGATCCACAACAATTTTGTGAGCAAGTATGGTAAAAGTTCTGGTGGCATCTAGTAAACTATACCAGATATCGAGGACGCGATTTCGTGGCGACCCAGTTATACGAACAGGAGATGGCTTTTCTGTTCAACATTTGCTGTGGTGTCCCACATCAGTGTTCAGGAACGTTTCATTCGCATGACGGACCGGACGCGGATGCTTGGGTTTTCTTCCCCTTGACCTTTCCTTTGGATACAGAGCTATGGAAATGCTACACAGGAGCTGTTTTGGCAGACTGTGACGCGGAGAGTGATGATCAGACGGCGATATTCGACACATCAAGTAAAAGTCATGGTGCATTTTACTTTCCTGCCTGCGTAATCCCGTATAGTAATACAATTACTCTCCTGACCCTAGCTAATGATAAACGCTGGATCCAAGCGCGTGTGCACGTGCTGTATCTATTCACGTGTCGGTGGGGTTATATACTAAAACCATATGACCGACAGACCCTCTTGACATTACCACAGCTCCAACATCGCCCAAACAAGAGCAAGCGACATTATGAATCAGAATGACGGTAAGCTGCCTCAGTCGAATCCCCGTTTAGCTTGCTTGGGGTTCAATGTACTAATTACGGCCGTCACAGACCTCGCGAATAGTGCGGCGTCTCCTTCAGGTGGCTCAGGCTACACGCTGAGTCACATCGTCAGTCACGGCGGTGATAACCCTGCTCAAGTCCAAGACTATCAGCGGTCAGATGAACTGACTCGCAACGGACTGCGCGCTGAGGCAGCGTTCAATACACCCATGGTCCAGCTGATCATCAAGGACTTCTGCGACTTGAGCGAGCGACTGGAGCAGATCGGGGCCATGGTTCCCACACAGAGTGGCCTACATTACTGGGTTAGCGACTCCGCCAACGGAAGCGGTATCATCGTCGCCGAGTGTGTCGAACTCTTGAGGTACGCGCCCGGATACACCGTGCGCGTTCCGCGTGACGTGCGATTAGCATTTGAAGCCCTCAACACCCTCGAACTCGTAAACCAAGCTATGTATCACAGCCTCTCGGGGTATCTACGATACCTCGAAGCCCAACAGCCGGCGCAGGCTCTCCAAGCTTACCAACCACCACCACCACCACCTATACTACTTAAACGCCAGGACCAGATCGTTGTACCGCAAGGACCTAGAACATCCGGCGTTCGTTCCAGTGGTTCCGCTGGTATCCATCGGTACGAGTGGCCAGAGTCTCGTAAACTTGCCTGGCTTTGCATCACCCCACGTATGGTTCTACCTGAGAAGGCTTTAGAATCCTCATACTGTTCATTCAACAGCGTAGCGCTATGGGATCATGTTGACGTCCGACTGATTGGACCCAATATCGAGGTGACTCTTGTGGAGATCGCTGCGGTAGGCTACTTAATCCATCCCCTATGCGCGCAAAATGAACTGACGAAGGATGCAGTTCTTTCCTCGAGCAGCCTCATGTTGGAGGGCTATCTGGAAGCGCTTCGAAGCGAGCGGATGGAATCTTCATAAGCTGCGTGAGCTGATCGTCAGTACTTACTGCCTCTGTCTTCAAGAACCTTGCTAACGAATCTCAAAGTTCTACTCCCGCCAGCTTAGTGTAGGCGATTTACGGGCCCACTCCGCCGGCAGTATGAAGAAGCATCGACGAGATGCTCGTAGTCACTCTTGCGCCGCCGCCGGTATTACGCTCTCTGCGATCAATACCGATCGTGTGAACTCAACTACCGAGTTCTGCGATCTTCGCGACTGCTTCCTTGTCAGCCTGGGCGACGGACTAGTATACTGGCCTGGAGGAGCTGATCAGGGGGTGCTGACCCTTGCTGTCTGGCACGCTCGTCGACGCGGCCATAATAACGTACGACTATCTCAACTTGAGCGTTACGTCGAACAAGTACAAGAGGAAATGGTTGAACTATATGGTCCTCTTCCACAGCCTAGTCCCCTTAGTCTCTATCAGACTGATTGGCAGGCGCTGGAGCGAATCTTTCCACAGCAGACTTACGATGCGACTCGGGTTCATGATCCAACGTACGATGTCGTCCGAAAGTGGTGGGCAGCGGGACGGTATTTTCACCAAGACTAAAGAAGTCATGACCGCAAAGACCCTTCAGGAAGATGTACATAGCCAGCCAACAGGTCTTTCTATGCCTGGCTGATTGATGATCATAGCTGGCGAAAGGTCATGTTAGATATCCAGAGCTGTGCCTACAGCTTACGCTGTGTTCTTGGCGCGATGTTACATGTTCTATGTCTTCCCACTAAAGGCCTATTTTATCAGTGTCTCTCTTACTGACAATATGCACATTGCTACCCATTCCAGTAAGCATTGACGATGTCAAAATGGAACTAAGACTAACCTCGTTGGATGCGGAGCTTCACTACGCAGCCTTTTCAGATTGGTTCTCGTACTAGTGTGTTTCTTCCAGCGCCCTTTCTGGCCTGTATGATACCCGAGGCAAGAATCTGGCTCGAACTCTGCCTCCTCTCCAACTTTACAGACTTTTGCCAGGCCCTATACGGCGGAAGAGCGATGCGTAAGTTGACACCCCTTGTCTGAAGGTCATGTATTGCGTCAATATACGCAGCGCCTGCACAATGTTGGTAAAGCTCATCACAGCCCTAACTCGAGATCCACAGCGCCTCGCAGAGACACCTATGACGGGTCTCTAGACCTCTTCCAGCGCACAATGCTCGGTATACCTAGCACAACAATGTCGGAGGACTGCTATGTGAACGCAGTTGCCCCTCCAGGGGAGTACATGCGCCACCTGAGCGAAAGCACCACATACCTGGATGTACAAGGACTGTTCACAGGCCCAGGAGAGTACGATACCTACTTTGATGACACGAACTCTCTGGGAGTTGGGGGAGAGAACGTCGGCCTCGAGAGCTGGAATACGGCGTCCAGCAAGCCCGCGATCGTCAACCGTTCACAGTGCACTTCGAAGTGCAACGCTCAATTCCCGCGCGCGACGACCAACCAGGCGACGATCAGCTCCAGCACCAACACCGGTGAGACAATTCAGTCAAGAAAAAGTGGTAATGCATCGCTAATACACGCACTAGCCTTTCCACCATACGACTTTGACTATAGGATAGCTTATCCGCATAGGATAGACGAATTCGAAAACGCTACACCGCCCTTCCCATACCCGCAGTCGCTTCCAGGAGATATGACGGACGTCGGCTTTAATAGCATCAATCAACAAATCCGTAGACGTCCGCAGCTGGGCTTCGACGAGAGGAGCTACGGACAGTTTGCATCTAAGTCATCTTCTCGTCTTCAGAAGCCTCGTAATAACATTGCACCTACGGGGCTCACTCTTCCGCAGGATTCAGCCCAAACGTTTCTCTCTCCAGATCAACTCTACAGCGCACAGCCTCAACTTCTCCCCGATTTGAAGGGCGCACCTGTGCCAGGTACGAATCTGCTCAGACTCAGCCACGCATGCTTTCTGGGGACCATACCCCTTCCAGATATGGCATTTCATGCGCCTGGTATGGCCATATCTGCAAAGACTGAGGAAGTGCTTCGACGACCTGTACCAGAGTACAAGGCTGGGGCCACTTCGGTGGCGGATGTATCCATGTTATCTGGTATGTTGGCCGTTCAGCCCTCCTTTATCGTTCTTTGGCTTTTGGTCACTGCCAATAGTCCATATCAATGCATGTCCTCTTCCAATCTAATCAGTATCTGTAGGAGATAACTCTCGGAGTGGACATGATCTCCTTGATGAGCTCTAATCCCCTATCTAAGTAGACCGAGCACTTGATCGCCTCGAGAGAAGAACACTGTGAAGGAGAACTCTATTCGCATACTGGCGAAGGAGACGTGGTTGTCGTTGCTGTGTCACACCAGCATTGAATTTACCGAGTCGGTAAGCGCCGCGCACTGTTTGTAGCTGGATACGTTGAGAACTGCTCTGTATAGCACATACCACATTAGATCAATCAGACAAAGTGTATCTAAACCGAAGATTGATCCTTTGAAGTTTGATAACAAACCCGGTGTATTGAAAACCTAGCACGATCGAGTACCTTAGGATGATCTCAGAGCTGAGCGACCATAGTACATTGCGTACTCGACGCGTTGTAATCTATGGCGACAAGGCTGCGGTGTTTAGAGTCTACCCGTCAAGGCCACTTCTACCGCTCGCATGATGGTCTTTTAAGTGTCTCTTAGCATCACGATAAGCCTTTTCAGATCTTCTGACCTATTATAATCTTTTGTAAAAGACCGTATGCTGGAAAGCAAATGGTGACTGTGAAGGCATCATAGAGGCTAGCGCAGCCCCTTGGCCGCAACAGCCGAACGGGGACGCTGTACCCTCGTCGACCCTTTCTTTCGCCAATCTCAACATCCAATCGCTACTCCACGCCCTGCTTAACTCGACATGCGCACAGCAGCCATATGTCACCAAGCTCGCTAGTATACCCATCCAGTGCAATCCTTGACAAAGACATCTGGTAAGACTCGCATGGCGCGCTGAGCCCATGATCCACTGACTTGCCCGCCTTGCTACAGATAGTATACCCCCAAAACTAATCGACTAACTTCGAAGTGCTTGCCGCAACCATCAGCGCACCGCAAGTTACTCCGCTAGGCTCACTGCCATCGCAGCCGAGGAAGTCACCAATGCCGCCACAGCAGTACCTCAGTAATTGGGCGCGACACGAAAGCCACTCGTCTACGGAGCGAGCCTCTGAGAGCCATGAGCCCTCTCTTACACCGCAGTCCCATTCTATCGGCGCGATCTGGTCCGCCGGCGCAGACGAACTCGTCTTCGGCGCTACCCTCTGCGTAGATGAGGCGCACCAGTCCGCGCATGACCATCAACAGTTCCCTGGCGCTATATACCATGTACTGGAAGATGAAGAGCCAGCATCGTCGTTTCCGTCGCAGTCTATCAGTGATACAGGGACTACCACGCCGGCTAGTGACCTTTCCGCGTACGCTTTCGCCCCTCATGAGCCTCGGGGTTTCTCTACGCCTAGAGACAACATGCATCCCACGGGGCAACATTCGCCATATCTTGCTCCACCCATGAGCAGACCTGCTATACCTCAGGTCCGTACCGCGTCCAAGAAAGAACCCAAGAAGACTATGATGACAGCGCCTAGCAAGGCCAACGGAGTGGCCAAGCCTTACCGACATACAATCGGTACGAACGTCCAGGCCATCGCCAATTATGACTTTGGAACTGGCGATATCCATCGTTTAACGTCTACTAGTCCATTGCACAGCGATATATCACCGCAACTCACTAGATCACTGTCGAGCTCACTCGGACCGCCAAATAACTCGCTGGACCTCGCAGCAGCAAGCTTGGGCGACCAAAAAGATATCCGCCATGACTTACCAACACCACACGTTGAAGCCGACGGCGAGATCTCCACAGCGATACGTCTTCGAACGCCAAGCGAGACGCAAGGAGGCAAGAACCTTGCTCGAGCATTGGGCTTCCTTGGAGGTAGAACCAGCCCCATCGGCCCCGGTGTCTCAGGCTTCGACTTCACATTCGCTGACCTTGTCGACGCGAGGGACCGGTTTCCTGGCCAAGTCAACATACATCGAAACGCGCTTCTCGGTTCTGAAGACTATAACTCAGCATTCGAAGAAGACGCACGGCTGAGCCGAGACCGCTGCAATCAAGCTATTCTTGGATCCTCTCCGGATACGTTACCCCGAGGCACCTACCTTCTCGATCTTGGCGGCGGCTTCCATGTCACAGTCCCGCTTGATCCAATAACCGAAGCTACATTCAAGCAAGGCGGCCAAGGAACCATACCACCCGAGGGTCTCGTGCGTATCGCCACGGAGATGACCATCGACATGAAAGACTACCGTGTCGATGGTAAACCGCACCCGGTATACAGTATGGGCGCTCCAAAGCAGGTTGATATCCGGTACCTGGGCTCGACACCTATAACCATAGTGGAGATGGCCATCGTGAGTATATATTGGTCGCTTAAACGAAGACATCTTAGCTGATGTATCTTGTAGTGGTTTCCCGCGCATGGCTCACTCTGGCCGGACTGGACACAGCGATTCGCTCGAAGTGGCTGGACGCAAAACAACATCGCTGACTTGATCGTGAGTTCAGTCCTCCTTTCCAGCTCCTGTCTTTCGTAGGCTAATATTTTGAAGAACCGCGCTTACAACACCGACGCCGTCGAAGGTGTCGGCCCATCGACCATCAGTCAGCAGACGAACAAACATGGTCGTGAGATCCAAGAACTGTCTGGCTCTCGTGGTCAGGAACAACAGCATCTGCCTGCGATCGCGGCTTCTCCAGTAACATCTTTCTCTTGCGAAAACTGGACACCGCCTGGCAAGGAATATCGACTAGTCGACTACTACGTCCGCGATCTTGCGAACGGCGTCGACCGTGATGACTTTCCTTCCGGTTCAGACAGGGGTCTTCTAACTCAATTGATTGAGTATGTCGTCGACAATATAGCCGAGTGGGGTGACCTTTTGCTCAGCGATGTTGCGTTCATCGAAGATTCGGAGGGTTACTTTGAGACAACAAACCCTTCTTTTGGACCTGGAATGGAGAACCCAGACGAGGAGGCGTCTCGTCGCCACAAATCAGATTTAAAACGATATCGCAAGACGATGGCGGATTATCGCATCCGGCAGAAGAAGGACAAAGCAAAGGTCGCGATGGGGAGCCAAGACCAGGCTCAATGATCAGTGAGGCTGAGCTTTAGACATACCAGTCATTCCAGCTACCGCTGTGTCTTCTCATGACATTTGACGAGTTTTTGCCATGAGTAGATCCAAAAGCTTTCTCACGGAGGTCTTAAAGCCATCCCCCAACTTTCGATACTGCGATAGTTCCATTAGGAGACCGCCATCTTGCCATCGCGGCCTCACGACATGACTCAACCATATGAGGGACACGGTCTCGGGCATTCAGCGACCTTGGCCAGGATCGCAGCGAAGTTCTCCGATAAGGGGTCGCTGACGCGTCGTCCTTGAGCAACGGAAGAAAGGCTGTCGGAAAAGTTTGCTGGTGAAAACACACTTGCGGTGGGATGCGAACTAGGCCGAAAACTGCAACGTCACTCCACGCTTTTCGTGCGAAGCCACCCAACCACAATTTTGCTTCCATTGAGAAGCTTCCTCTCGTCTCGAGGATCTTCTGGGAATTGCTTCAACAAGATTCCTCACTTCCTGGTCGGTCACATATCCTGGCGATAATATTGATGTGAGCCATACAAGGAAGGATTTTCGAAATTAGCATCAGTTGATCAGTTGACCAGTTCCTATCTTCGGAATTCTTGTCAGTCTTCTTCAATTCGTAGAGTACGTCACGCAACATCAGCCACGACAAGAGAAGGAACTAGTCAAAGGATTGATGGATTTATATATCTACACACGATCCACGGGTCGATCAGAAAGACCGCAAGTACCGAATTCCAAATGTGGTGGCGAAAGAGCGAGGCTCATTTGTGTGTTGAGAAAGGTCTTATCCGGGGAAAGAGTCAGTGTATTGTGTGAGCCTTTGGGGATCCACGAAAGCTTCATTATCCTGCATTCTTACAGTCACGATTTGTAAATTCTTCTGTCACTCAATCAGGACTTGTCAGTGTCTTGCAAAGTTAGATGGATTGATGCTATACTTCTGTGCCTCTGTCGCGCAGATCATTGAAGTACATGAGAAGAGACGACCGAGCCTTTGGAAGACATGCTATAGGAGTATCTGGTCGGGGTATTATGAGCGTTGCATTAGAATAAGACACATGGAAAGACAAGGAAGGAATTGAATAATAGATCTCGCAATTATCCATAGTATTTAGTAGATGTTTTCGTGCATGTTGCTGCGACATTAGTTTATGAGATGGGTAATATTAACATAGTCGAGCGGTTTACACATGTGACATTAGATCAAATGGCAAAGTTCATTACATCAAGTACAGCGCGAAAGGTTCACATGATGATAAAGACTTGTGTTTAGACACGACACAGTAGCTTTGAGCAATGTGATGTTGATCTCAGACAGTATCACGCACGATACCACATCCGCGAATGCTTCCAACAAGACGCCTTTGTTCACGTCAACTGAAACAATTCGCAAATGACTCTTATTTATTGGCACGTCAATAACTGTATCGCTGGAAGAGTCTCGCTTCCAAGCTACGAAAGGCAGTCTAGACAACTACGTGCCTCTTTTCCATTTATCTGCCAGTATACCATCCTCACACTTGAACATCACCACAACACATCGCTCAAGCCTCAGTCCTCCCACCTATAGCCATGACTCTCTACATCCTTCCTGACCATAGCCCGATATTCCTCATGCAACGCCACATGCCTCTTCAGGAACCCCGCATCGCTGTAACCGGCCTGAAGATTTCGATCGATAAGCCAATACGCAATGAACGCATCTAGATCAGCCAGCATAAGCTTCGAGTAAATCATGAGCTGAGCTTGAATGAGGGCTTCGGTAAAGGGACCGCGGTCAAGACCCTGGGGGAAATTGCAAGGATGAACACCCTCGGCGCAATCGATAAGCGCGTAGGGTATCTTGGCGATGTCGAAGCCCGTGTGTCGGTTGACACCGGGTGTGAATGTGTAGTGACTGGTCGTGTGGATGATAGGCTGCGGTGCAGGCGGTGGAGCTCCTTTGACAGGCTTTGTCACTCCTTTCTTTTTTCTCCAGTCCTTTGCCCAGGTACGTGCGTCCATACCGAAGAGACAGTCCAGACCTTGGAGAAAGTGCTGACGATTCTTCGCGATGAACTGTCAGCTCAGTACAATAACGCGCGTTCGGTAAAGCATAGAAGAAGACTCACAATGATCCAAGCCTGGAACTTTGGGGTGATTCCGCTCTGTGCGAAACGGGCTTGCACTTCGGGGATCTGCGCATGGAGGGGAAAGAACTTGAAACGAGTTAGCTGTATCTCGAGAGACTGTCAGGAGTTGCATACCGTAAGAATCTCCAACGCGGTCAGCGGGATAGTGAACACGGATAAATCGAATTGTGAGGGGGTCACAATACTGTGCAGTGGATGGAAAGGCCTCTGGAGTACATCGTGGGGCGGCATTTTCTTGTGCAATCCGGTATGGATAAGTTGATGCGATACGGATGGCGAGTATAGGTCCGTGAATCCAGGCCCAAAGTAACGCATGCTCTTGTCACCTTCAGGAAAGAAACCGTTTTGATCGAACCTCGCGCGACCTTTCTTGACTTTGCCGTCATGCTCTGAATCGAAGCCGTAATCGTCATCGCCGTCTTCGTCGGCGAGGGCAGAAGACGCTCCAGATCGCGAGCGCTTGTGAGTGTTTGCTCGTGGGGTAGCGCCGCTAAACGCGCGCGGACGCTTCTCTTTCTCACTGCGACTAATGTCGGTGGGGTTGCGAGGTGTTTTCCGGGGCGCTTTGGAGGCAGTACCGCGCTGACGGCCGGTGATGGGACTGCTCATGACCGTAATAGAGACGAGAGACGAGGAACGAAGGGGCTTGATACCATTAAAAGCCTGGGTGTGTAGAAGAGACTTGTTTTGTTTGCCAATACTCCCTCACTCCAAGAGATAAGCGAGCACCCTAGAACCGACTTTGACGTCAGATTTTCACATTTGCTTATCTAATTCTAGTGAAATCTCCATCTCTTTGGGATATTTCACGTAAGAGGGTGTGCAGCTCCTCAAGTCTGGGGGCGGAGGGGAGCATAGCGCTAGTAGACCGGACCACGGGTTTCTAGCAAATGAATCAATCGGCTGCCTAGCAGCGGAGCAGCAATGATAGAGAACAGGCTACGATTTTGAGTCGGACTGGGGCCTTGTCTTGGTTCGGGCTAGCCATTGAGGATATACTTTGATAGGCAACATGATTGTGATAGCTTTGAGGAGCAATGAAAAAGCTGGGCAACCTGGAATACCAGCCATCAGAATTGGTGCATACCTGTATATACCTACGCGTGCATCTCGTCCTGATCAGACAAGCTCCAGAAACGCTGCACAATCGCATCAGGAAGCGCAGGCAGGTGGGTCTTCATTGGGCGTACCACCAGCTCTTCGCCCTTTCCCAGGCAGAGAAGCACGGCAGAACCGTTGCTCGTGTTCTCCTTTACCGTTGTATTTAACTGTCCAAACAACCATACAAGCTTACGAAGAGCTGCTTGCCGCTTGCCGTCATCGTCGTAGTTTTTCCTCATCTCCTCCGGAGTGAAGATCTTCTCAGTTGAAGAGAATACACCATCCTTATTCGTACCAAGCGACCATCGCGAAGTTCTACCGACCCAGATCTGATCGAGGGGCTTGCTCTGGTTGTTGCTCTTTAGCTCCATTGTTCTGCTGTGAGGGATTGGCTTTCCTGCCAGGAGGACAACGGTCGATTCGGAGCTGTTGTATTGGATGGTAGTGTTTGCAACTTCGGGTTTGGGATGTGATGCGCCATGCACTAATGTCTCTCGGATCTCGTCTCTGGAAGGCTGACTTTCAGGCATATATGCGTCCGTCTCTGCCCTTACCACGATATTGAGGCCACCGAAATCGTACTGTATGGTATGGTGATGTCCTTCCGCATCTTGAAGGTCTGGTTCCAGTTGCGTCGTCCAGGCAGCCTCGAAGTTACGCCCGTATGATCCATTGGTAGAGCCGGCCATACCGGATCGAAGCCGTCGCCCCACGATCAAAGTATTGCCAACGACGTGGAGGGTCAGTGCGAACGGCTGGCATGATACATCCTTGACGTATGTAATGAGCGCGGTCATTGACCCGCGAGCGATGAGGACATCAACATCGTCGAAACGCTTGCTTGGCTGCATAACAGTAAGAGCCTGGAAGAGTGGCTCGAATTGAAATCGCGGTACCTTGGCTACATGCTGATCGATGTAATAGCGTCCTGTGTCCGGCTCCAGTTTCAACGGGATAGATGGCTTCGTGAACATCGGCGGAGTACCAGGAACGTAAATCGTAGGGGTATCGGTGTATGACTTGAAGCTGTAGCTGCAAAGAAGCTCGTAGCCCTTATCCGACACATGGTTTTGCGACTCCGGTATCTCCTTGGCCAGCATGTTGAAGACGATCTCTTTGCTCGTGTTGGCGTTCATCCAAGGGTCATCCCGTCTGCGCTTCAGATACCTCTTCCACGAACCCACGACAGACTTCCACGCACTGCCTTCTACGTAGACACGGTCAAGGGCGATGATGGTAACTGAGTAAACAGCTAGTGCAGCCAGACCCTGCCACTTGCTCCATGACTTGGAGATATCCATATCGGTAGACACCAGGTCTGACTCGTATAATGTAGCCGAGAGTGCGCTCAGCAACGTGGAGTGGGTGAGGAGTCAGGAGGGCCTTGGGTTGCAACCTCGCTTCGATGGTTTACTCAGGAGTTGGAGGAACGTCAGGTGGAGTGGTTGTGACTTCAGGCTGGTCGATCTGCCGAGCTAGGCGGTGGAAAGGTAGGAGTTGTATATACCGGTGAGCAAGAAGGTGAATATAGAGTAACAGAAAGGCGGGGCTACACTCTCAGGCTGCAGCCAATAAATGGCAACAGAGCTGAGAACTGGCACCGTGTGCCACAGGTATGCGCTGCATTGCACCTAACTCATCGGGCTCCAGTGAATTCGTCCCGGGAGACGATCAAGAGAGCGATGTGAATTGCAGTAGGTAAACTCGCTAGCCTCGAGTCCATAGCTGGGTATCAACCGAATTTAATGATTGCTATCAGCATTAAGCAAGTCTGCACGCTCACAAGCAGACTGCAGTGGCATCCCAGGAGCTTGACCGCTCCTGCGTATCCGCATGCCTAGATTGTAGGAGGCAGTAGGGCGTTTGTCAGGCTGCCACGAACAAAGCGGAACGCAGCGCGATAGGATCGCGTTCAAGTCACCGAGTCATCCAAGCGTTTGTCTCGGTACAAAGCATGGCGACGATATTGACGAAGACAACGAATCATTGTGCTCGTCTCGCTGACGATTGGCAATTCGGCGGGGAAAGTGCGCTCCTCCAGGTGTGTACACTCTCGATGAGTTTCGCCTTTTCGCATTAGTGCGCGAGTGTTGATTCAGCATGGCGAGCATATGCGTAGAAGAAGGTTGTCGGATGAGGTTTGACACCTCGATGGCGAGGACGCGACGCGTGTGCCACCGTGCGCTGACGTAATGACGCGATCCCAAAAACGCGCTACAGCTGCGCTAACCCCCTGAGAGCTGATCACGTGTACTCTGAGCAGCTCATCATCGCCGCACAGTAAACGTCAAGCAACCACTCGACATCATTCCGCTACGCTAACATACAGCCTACTCCGACGACCACAGTAATTACCGCGGCGTGGATGTGGGCGAAGTCCCAACCCCTCCCCCATTTGGCACGACATCGTTCGGATGACCCAGACTCATTTCCGCACTCGAACCTCCATTCCCTTTTATGCCGACGAGCTCCGGCAACGACGATAGATCGAACGGTATCCGCTTCTTTGTACCAGTGCCACTATGTTGTCGTTGCTTCCGCCGATGAAGGATCCAAACAGGCGCGCACAAGGCCATTAACAAGAGGATAGCGAAGCCCACCGCGATACCGGCGATAGCGCCTTTGGGTAGTGGCGATTTGCTTGATGAGTCGGGGTCGGAAGGGGTGGTCTCTGGCGCCGGCGTTGGAAGAGCCTCGGTCGAACATGAAGATGAGCCGTCTGGTGCCGTTGAACACTCGGATCTAGGGAAGATGAACTGGATTTGGCTGGCGTAGAATTCGTTATCATCAGAGATAGTCACGGTAGTAGTGACTGGAGTTTTGCCTTCAGCGCACACAACCTCGATTTGCGTGGTAACATCTCGGCGGGCAATGCTGAAGCAAGTCTTCATCTCTTCCGGGTTCGTGTTCAATGCGTAAGGACGGTAAGAACTGTGCCGATAGGTCAATTAAATCAACACGTCATGATTTGGATACATGGATGAACTTACGAAGGACAGCATGCGACTTTAGTGTAAGTAGAACCTGGAATGCCTAAAGTCTCCCGTCTTCTCTCTGCCCACCCTTCTGGACATCGGAATGCTGGCGAGTACAAGATTGCCGAGTGAGTAGAGAGGTAGGGGCCGAGCCAGTGTGTTCCTGGAGGAAAACATTCACTTGCTATAGTGGGCTTGCCGTCGGATCCGCATGTCCGATCTCGTGTCCACGATCCGCAGCTGCTGCTACCTTCCATGCCACATTCTCGAACCGGAAGGGAGCAGTAAGCTGGTGCGGTGAAGGGCGTGATGAGCGGCCCGTATGGGGCTGTGGAGGCTGGTGTAGCTCCGGGCGACCTCCATGTATGGGAAGGGACGTCTGGTGTTGTTACGGGCGACGACGATGTGCGGGAAGTGGTGTCTATGTTGCTGGACAGGGAGGATGATGTTGCTTGTTCGCTAGCAGAAGACGATGACGATGATGTAACGGGAGAGTCGGCCATGTTGCGGATAAGAGAGGATGATTTTGGCTACGAGAAGACGAAGATGAACATATGGGGACCAAAGGCACCCGTGCATTCATATGCAACGCCTGGCACCGGGAACATTATAATGCGGCGCATGATACCGTCGGCTAATGAGAGGATGGTCAACGGTGTGACGAGATTCGCAAATGTTGCTTGAGTTCCGCGCCGTATGCTGCGCCGCACATCTGCCCATGCGTTAAAGCGGGCGAGAGATTGATCCTTGGCAACCAACCTTGCCGGAAATCTTATGTTATGTATATGACGATGATTGGTACAAGGGATGATCAAACGGAGCTGCGCATGCGCAGTGAGATCCCGCGCACGTCCATGGACTTAGGAAGGCGGAACCGAACAAAAGCCTTATAGCAAAAAAATCATGAAAATGAGAGAGGGAAGGTTCTGTCGGTCTCGAACGACCAAGTGGTTACAACGTATCGCTCTCTGCTAAACAGTATGGGTATCAATATAGTAACAAACGAAGAAAAGATCCACGCCATCAAAACCCATCAACGCCCCGGTGTGAGCGCAGTTTCCAATCTCGGCGACCTAACCTCCGGCTGTGGATGAAACAAACCATTCGAACTCGCCATCTGTGTAGGCGGGGAAATCATGCCATGGTTTCCCACAAACTCAGGTAATGCGTCGTGCTCTCCACTCGGGCTAGCCTTCGGTATCGGCGCGTGGTGATGCTGGTTTTGTCGGCGACGCCAGAGGAAGAGGAGTCCGCCGGCGAGTGCCAGTGCGGCGACCGCACCCACAGCGATGCCAACAATGGGACCTGTACCGAGACGACGTGATTTGGGTTCTGGGGAATCCGCAGGTGGTGGGTTATAATGAGGAGGACCGAAATCTAATGTTGGTTCGCTAAGAGGGGTAAAGGTTGCCTCTGAAGAAGAGGCAGTGGTGAGAATTGCCTCAATTATTGCGGCCCAAACGGCTGTATTATCGGTACCATATTCGCTGGTAAACCATTCAGAAGCCGAGCTTCCATCCGTCTGGCAAGCTAAGACCGAAGTTGAGTTGGCGGTCCAGGTGATCGAACTAGTACAACTCGAATATAAGTAATGCGCGGAGTAGCCGCTAATGAATAATGTCAGTGGCTGTCAAACATGCTGGCCAGAAACTACTCACGATGGACAGCATACTGCGGTGGTCTGGCTTGACGGATCTATAATCTGGCTTTGCGTTGCCCACCCATCGGGACATCCTGTAGCTGGGGAGTATGTCAAGACCGAGTATGGGAATGGACTGCCTGGAAAGCATTCGCTAGCACGGGTGGGGCGTCCATTTGAACCGCAGGTCTGATCACGCTCAACGTACCCACAACTTAGGGTAGGTGTGCCAGTTGAAGTTCCACTAGACGGTGTCTCAAAAAAACATGACGACTTGACAACGTTGTTGCAATAAGACGGCGGAGTGAAAGGGGTCATAATCGAATAGGAGGGTGTCGGTCGCGTCAAGGAGGAACTGAAGGAAGTCGTCATGGAGGCGGTTGGGAAATCGGCCATGGCTGAAGTCAGAGAGGCGATGAGATCGCGTACCACTGCGAACAGACGAGACCAGCAGCGAGCATTTGTAGTACTCACAAGGGATGGGAAGGATGAGGTCAAAGCGCAGCCCTGCTCCGCCGCCCCCATGCTCCCGTTGTGTGAGACCCTGCAAGCCTCGCGAGTGGCTTCCCTCTCTCCAATGAGGGTGTGGGTCTATTAGCAGGCGCGTGCAGACAGCATGCATTCCGCGGGGTGCCTTAAGCCACTTTAAGCTCGTTGGGTCTTGCTGGGATGTTGAGCGAGATTCCAATAAGGACATGGCGTTGAGTCGCTTGGCTGGGTTGTTTGCGGCGTTTTGAAGACAAAGCATCCAGGTAACCTCGGACAGCATCGTGGTTGACGTCTCTGTAGTACGAACGATGGATGAAGAGTTTGACTGTGAAAATGCTACGCGGCGTATGCAAGGCTGACCTGCCTGACCACCCTTACCTTTTGACAGCGCGATTCGCGTTTAAACTTGCCCTTTGGGATGCGGTGTGCAGGCAGTGATGGCGTTTGGGGGCCAAATTTCCTTTGACAGCATAACAACTAGGTGGCACAGTTCCCAAAAGATTGGGTCTCAATGCTGGCTGTGGAGGCTGTGTTGCTCATGCGCTCCATCCTAAGAAATAGTATACTGCCTATCAAGCGATAGCGATAGGAACATTGTATATGTTATAGGCAACGCGACGGAAGACCGGCGTGTTTTCTGCGCGTCGTGGTTGTGCCAAGGAATCGCGACGGGACATTCGGGGCAATTGGGCAATGACGCGGAAGTAGAAGTCGCAAACTCGCGTGCGCATACGTGCAAAAGTTCACCATAACTGGAATGAGATCAGATAGAGATTGAATGTGTTCTCGCGGCGGTGGGTTGAGATGAGGTCGGAGTTGCGTAGCACAAAGCTAGAGGCGTAAGCAGCGTGGCGGCGAATTGCGGGGAAGGCGTGACCAGCAATGCAGCACTTCTGTGGATGGGCAGACCTTGATACATCCCATCTTTGAATTCTGGCTTACGAGGACATGGGCTGATTAGTATGCTCAGCGATTGTTGTTGAGTGAGCAAAAAGGCCCGGCCTGGCAAGAGGGCAATTGCCGAGAGAACGTGACCTGGCGATATGTGGCTCCGAGATCCTCGGCCCAGCCGTCGCGACTATGTTGCCCCACAACTTAAGTTAAGAGCTGTCTCCGCCTCCGCATTCACTCACCATCTCCCCTAAACATCGCCTTCCTCACTCACAAACCTCAATTAATCGCTCGTCTCTACCTTCAC